AAGACCAACTTGTTGATCAAGTACTAACCTTTCCATGGAAGACTGGGCCTTCTGGTAGGTGTTGTACTTAATCTCAAGTGCATCTGTTTCTCTTACTCTTTTAAGAAGAGAAACATTTTCAGATTCCGGTTTATCCCTTTCCTTAATCAGAAGATTGATTTTGATCTCAACCTCCTTTCTTAAGTCAGAAATTTCAACTTTCAATTTACTGTTTTCTTCTTTAACATAAGAGTAAGTGGTTTGGGTGGCTTTAAACTCTTCCCAAAATTCTGACATTGAATCAGAATTGAAAGCTTTGCCTACCGAAGAAAAACTAGAAGTAGAGGTAGAGGATACCTCATCATCAGATTGACGCATAGGACATGGGTCTTCAGTCTCTGTATCCAGGCAATAGAATGCCTCATCGGATTCTGATTTAGAACTGGATTCTGTCTCACAGAGGGGATCCTTCTCTGGTAGCTCAGAGATGAGAGCTTTCCTTCTTCTGTGCTCGCACTTCTTCACTCCTTCCTATCCTTGCCTTTTGGACACTATGGGGTGAGGGCAGATGATTTTGAAGTGCTCAGGCTGTCTGCAGTTGTAGCAAAGAAGCTCTCCATTGCTTTCTGAAGATTTGGTCTTTTGGAAAGGCTTTCTGCTGGAAGTTGGACTTCTGCCATCTTTAGGCTTCGGGAATTTCTTAAACTTCCTGGCAAAAGCAGTCATATACTCGTCAGATAAAAGAACAGTAGGGTCAAAGTTACTTGCCTTGGAGGTACTTGCTGTGAAAGCAGTTGTTGTTCTGTCCTCAGCTTCTTCTTTTTCTTCTTCATTCATCTCGAACTCATAGGATTTGAGATTAGAGATGAGCTTCTCAGTATTGTAGGTCTTGAGGTCCTTGCTGTCTCTCATGGCGGTGACCTTCATCTTCCAAGGTGAAGGCAGACCTCTGAGAACCTTCAAGTTGACCTCCTTGGGAGTGAGTTCTTTCCCAAGTTCTTAGATTTCTGCAGTGAGAGTGAGATGGCGTGCATCTCTGCTATGCACTCTTTGGGGAGAAGTTTGAAGTCTTCAAACTTCTTCATGGCAATGGTGAGTTTGTTATCCTTCTCCTGCTCATCACCAGCTCCAATCAGGGTGAGTGCATCCCATATCTCCTTGGCAGAGGTGCTCTTCTTGATTCTGGTGAAGTACTTGTCATTTATGGCCTTTTAGACGATGTCCTTGGAAATGTTTTCAAGGTTATACTTCCTTCTCTCTTCATTTGACCATTCGTGACGGAGCTTGGTGATCATTTGTGGTAGACCACCACCAACAATGTATTCTAGGTTCACCTTTGTGAACTCAGTGAAAGGACGTGCATCAAGGACTTCCCACATTTCATGCCGAGATAGGCTTTCATCCGGATCTTCCAGTCATCAAACTTAGTAACTTAAAACATGAGAAACAAATGAATCTTTGTTCAGCAGGTAACCTAAAAGATTACAAGAACAAGGAGGCTCTGATACCACTTGTTGGTCTCGTTTACACAAGGAACAATCTAGAGAGGGGGTGAATAGACTGTTCAGGTTTCAAACTTTTTGTCAAAGTCATAATAGACTTGACAGAGAAGGTCGAGTTCTGGTGGCAAAACTTGACCTGGCAGCGGAAATTCTCGTAGTAGTTCTGGTCGGGTAGCCTATAGAAACACACTAAGGCAAATGCCTTTGTGATAACTCTAAGAACAAGTTCTGCTGAACACGGAGTCCAAGTCCTTGGGGGTTAAGAAGTTAAAAACAAAGTGCATGAAAATAAAAGCTTAAAGTAAATGACACCAGGGATTTTTATAGTGGTTCAAGGAATAACGCGTTCCTCTAGTCCACTGTTCCACTAAGCTTGCAACAACAACAGTTTACAACGCCTTAGTCATAGCACTTAAGAAGACTCCTCGTCTTCTTCAAGTCTAGGTTTCACCCAGGATGCAGTCCTTGCTTCCTGATGGCTGGTCTCGTTTCACTGAGTTTCTTGAATTATCCCCACTTCACTACTCCAGCTAGTTTGAGATGTCCTTCTTTTGCAATAAGTGTTTGAATGAATAACTGTTTTCTCCAACGTTGCTTCGTTACAAAGGATGAAAAGTTGAGGCTTTTGAAGTGTTGAAGAACTGGCAGAACTTTGCTCTTTGTTGGAATCTGAAGATATGAGAATATTATCCTTCCAACGTAAAGCTTTTCTTGTTGAGGAAGATGAAGTTGATATCTCGCGAAAGCTTGTTTGATTATTGTAGAGAGAGCAAAAGTTATCCGGTTGTTTTTCGTATTGTATCTTTTATACTGAAAGATGCCTTCCCGTTGGAGTGTAGATGACATCTTCATTAAATACATGTACTGTTGATTTGACCAGTTGGATTCCAGAAAGTAGCCAACTTGCTATTTTGGGGTCGCAAATATCTTTTCCTGGTCAATCATCAGCTTTAAATATCCCAACGAGTGAAGCTCATTAAATGAGCATTAAATGCGTGAACAGTAGTGTCTTCCGTTGAGAGGCTCCTAGCCGTTAGGGAATCTCTCGTTAGTTTAAAGACTATTTGGAGTACCTTCGAATTCTTCCAAGTGTCAGCAAGTCTGATGAGGTTCTCTGATAGCAACTTTGATGGCCGGCTCTGGTAGCAACTCTTGTGCCTAGCTCTGGTAGCATCTCTAATGACCAGCTCTGGTAGCAACTCTGATCAAGAGATCCAAGAGGGTTTCTGGTCAGTCGACTATGCTATTACTTACACAGAGAAAATTCTAATACGAGATTTTTAAAGAGGTACTCTAATATCCTAATTAACTTAGCATCATCAAAATCTATATACAATTTATTCCTTACAACAGCCTGCATATGGCCTCATCGGAGGCTCTTAGGATGGAGAGTCCTCCTATGGAAAGAAAACAGATGAGCTTTAGGGTCCCCCGACCCGTTGTAAATCAGGGCGTCAGATGGCCCACAATCCCTCGGAATCTCAGCGGCCATGATCCGTCCAGAGAATGGCGAGGAGAGCGCAATCCTGGGCTGAGCTAAATCAGTGTCCGCCCGTTGGTTCAGCTCGGTGATCTGCCTTGAAAGATCCACGAGCATCGCATCTCGTGAGTCAGTAGTCGCGGCCGTGGGGGTCACCAAGGCTAGTATGTTCCCCGTACGCACAACGTCACCGCCACACTGCCTGTGGATAACACTTGCCTCCTGCCCCCATGCCGCTGGCCATAGGGGTCTGCTCCCTGGCCATTTGATCATTGCGGGGCATCACTGGGATGGTATACGCCATCTCCCACTAGGCATTAGGGTCCCTCCTGAGTTCATGGGGAATCATGTCAGTAAGCACCCCAAGGTCCCCTGCTGGCAGGCTCATCTGCTATGTGACAATCGCTCGGAGAGGTCATGGGAGTTCCTTGCGTTGTTTTCTGCCATCTAACTTGTTTTGAGGTTTTTTAGCTGAGAGGTTGGTTTGGAAGGACTTTTTGATCAGGTTCCCACAGACGGCGTCACTGTTAAGGTTTATTCCTTCAACCTTTAAGCCCAACACGTAACTTAAGGATTTCGAATGGAGGAGGTAGTGAAATAGATGCAAAAACAAGTAAGGAAGGCCCAATAGAAGTCTCAATACACTGAAAGGGTTACAAAGCTGAGAGGTCGTTCGTACAATTGCTATGCTACGAGTTGATATGAATGTGAGAATGCTAGATTGTTCAGTTGTCAACCCTTTACAATGAAATAAATGCTACTATTTATACTGCCAATGTGTAGTTAGATGTGTTGACGTGACGGGCTGTGGATAGCTTCATTCCAACCATCAAATCTTCTACATTAAATGCGCTTCTCGCCGGGATCTTGGCTTCCCGCCAAGTGGTGGGGACTTTCGTCTCCATGAGCTTGCCTCCTGCTTTCTGTTGGGTCAAGGTACCTGCCTACGCTCGACTGCAAGGAGAGAAGGAAGCAGCTTGACTTTCACGACTAGGATACGCAAGTCGTGCAAGACAAGCGTCTTGTGATGTTCCTGGGCCAAGATACCCGCCTACACCAAGATACGTACATCGCTTGGGCCTTGGTGTTGAGGCTTGGCCTCATCGGGGACGAACCTCATCAGGATAATGGGAGCTTAACCGTTGTCTTGGACCTTCTGGGGACGTTCGTAGGGTGAGCCTCAAGAGTTTATGGGCCAACCCCCGTTGGGCCATTAACCCAACACTCTCTTTACCTTACTATGATTTTCATTACAGAGGGGAAATCATAGTAAGATTTTCAACAAAGCAATTACTACCCCAAAATAATTAGAAGATGATCTTTCTGGTGGGTAGTGATGAAATATAATTGAATTGGTTATCTCCTAATTATTAATGATTTATAAGTCATTATTATTATAAATGACACCAATTAAGAATATATAAAAACTTAAAAGTCAATATATTACTCGTGATTAATTGTGTGCACAGTAAAACAACAATCCTAAATTGCACAAATTAATAGAATTAATTTTATAACTTTTATATATTCAAAATCGGTGTCTTTTGAAAGATTAATAAATAGTTATAAATTCTGATATATTTTTTATAACAATGGGTATACAAATAAAAAAGATATAACATTTACAAAAATATATCTTTAAAGTGCTAATTTATTTTTTTATATTCATTATTGGTGTAATATGAAAGATAATAAAAATTATCAATATTAGTGTATTTTTTGTAACAATAAGGGTACAAATAAAAAAGATTTATCACTTTTAAATACAAATGGGATTTTATTTTTTGTGAGACTACTCACTCTCTTATTCTCATGGGTTTGCTCGTAACGTACATCAGTTTAGGTTTACATAAACCGCTTGAAGTCGCGGTTCTTTTAACCAAGCTCTAGGGGAGCAATACTTTGAGAACCACTTTCAACCTACCTTATTTTGGGAATTAAGTTTTTATTTAACATTATTTTGTGAAAAAACTCTCCCTCAAGTTACCTAATAATATATTTATACCGATTTCTAAATCTTAAGAGTTAAATACATTTACTACCAATCCAATTAGTCATTTAGTTCAACTGCAAAAAAATAAACAAATAACAACAATGCAATGATTCACTTCATAGAAGTACAAGCAAACACAAATACAATATATAACACATCATTCATCACCCTGTCGTCTTTTAATCCTTGTACTCCGTATCTCCCTCTTAAGAATATCCCCCCAGTGGGGGACTAGGTAGAGAGGTAAGTATGGCTCAAAATCAAATTAAATATTCATGATGTTTTGAGTGCATCCAGTAAATAAAGGAAGCCAGATAACCTTATTGGGGTATATAGATAACAGATTAAATGATGCAGAGAGCAAAGTCCCTTTGCCTGTCCTAGAAGCAGTTAATTAGCTTATAGGATAACATTCCTCAACCTCATCGCAGCTTGAATGGTACACACCTTGAGGTCTATGATAATACTTGGCAAAGAAGGTGACGGCAGAACAAGTAGGATCTTTATCATCCACTGCCTTCATGGTGATAAAGAAAATGAATGCACCATAAAAAGCAAAATCCAGCTCCACCATCTTGAGTAACTTGAACTGTGTTCCCTGCATGTTGCATTTATCGTTCTACAAAACACTAATAATTGTTCATCAATTACTTTGCACCGAGGTTGTTAAAATTGCCACTAAAAACTTGAAATCATACGCATGATTTTACGATTCAAAATAACCCAACCGATTTAACTGGTATGCAAAATCATTTTGGAATAAAATCAGAAAAGATCACAATCGAATCATTAAAAATCATGATTTTCAAGCGACTTAATAATTTCAAGGGAAAATGGAAACTAATAATCCAACCTTTTAGCGGTCTTATTACAATAGTCCAACCTTTTGATTATTCAGGAATAATCTAACCTTTGCACCTCATCTTCATTCAATGGTCCCCGACCAGTTGATGAGCTGTTATTTCAAGTTATTTTCTCATGTTTGCAAAACATTATGTGACCATAAGGTGAGATTTATGGTATAATATATTGCAAAGATAAGAAAATAACTTGGAATAGCGGGTCATCAACCGATCAGGGACCATGGGACCATTGAATGAACATGGGGTGCAAAGGTTGGATTATTAGTTTCCATTTTCCCTAATTTCAATTTCAAGCCCCGCCCAACAAAACCAGTACCAGAGCAAGGCCCAATTCACGCCTATCGGCCCAGAAACAAACAAAATGCTTTGAGCCTTTGACATTGATATATTGTGAGAAGAAGACCAGGACTCATTAGAGTATTGAGAGGAGCAGAATCTGTTTTGTTCCAGTGTGGGATGCCAAACAATTGAGAAAAGGAACAAAATCTTGAAATAGTAAATCATCAACCATCGTTGTTGAAGGGATTCAAACCCATGCCTAAGCCAACATAGAAGGACCTAGCACCCTCAGCTATACCAACTCACCAGCCACAGATATTTTGAATAACAGAACTATTGGGAGTATTTGCTACTATATTATGAGCCCGTTTGGTAACACGAAAATCGACTGATTCTGCTTAAATTTCTAAAATTCTTGGCTGCATTGCCTGATACAGTATGTAAAGAAAATTATATGTAAAAAATAGCTAAAATGATGATCTACAGTAACTTCAACCAATACAGCCAGAAAAGAAAATTCAGCCTTAGTTTTTCTTATTATTACACATTTAAGCGCGAGAAAACATAAGTCACATGTTTGGTGAAACTAAAACTTATTATTTGACATAATTATGTTAAATTGTGGGTATCCTTTTATTTAACATTTCAATTTTTTGTTTTATATAAAATCTTACAATTTAAATTGGTGTTAACGATTCGATTTTCAAATCTCCGTACCGGTTCGATCCAAAATTACGATTTTAACAACCCCGTTATGCACAAAATCTTTAGTAAAATAAAAGGAAGAAACTAAAGATGGATTAAACTACGCACATTCTTGTAGTTGTACCATTCAAGAGCTTCTTTTGCAGCCCTATAGTGTATCTCACGGAACTGACCACCCTCTTTCACATGACAAGCCTGTAAAAGCACATTGATTAGTCAGCAAGCCAGCAACAGCTCACGATCTTACCAAATGAATTATAACAACACCCTCTCCGTCATGAAAGTTTACACTCACTCAGGGTGTGTTTAGTTTGAGGAGTTCGGGAGGACGTTGTGGGAGGGTGCTACATATTTTAAAAATTAATTCTACAGTCAAATGGTTCTGCAGAGAGCAATAGGATGTTGAAAAAGATGGGTAGGAGTCGGGAGTTGGGGAGCGAATTGACATGGAAGATACCCAACCAAGGGAACTCTTTCTTGGTCGACCTTTGGCCACACCAGGGAATAGAGAGTAGATAGACAACAATTATATGATATTATAGTACAAAGTTAGAAAATTAAAGTAAAACAATTTGTTTCTTTAAAATCTATGTAGACAAAATCGATGCTAATACTGTACCCCATGCTCCTCTTCAGCAATCCTAATCTTCAATTCCATTTCTTCCTGAATCTTCCGAGGTGAAACAGGCGGGGAAGGTGAAGGATTATAATATTCCATATCATCATACGGTGGTGGAGAAGGTATGCTCAGACTAAGGTTGATGCAGTCACTGCTACTTTCAGATTCATCTTCACTGCTACTTTCAGATTCATCTTCACTCTCACCCGCATGAATGATGGTCAATTCTGGTGTGGCTAATATAGATTCTCTAGGCGGCTTTGCTGTGAAACTTTATGTGAAACAAGTTATATATGTATCATTTCAAGATTGAATTTACTTTTGTCAAGAACAAATCCATACTGATACAGAATATTTTCTTGTAGACAACTGGACCAGAAACCAAGCACAAGACAGAACACTTATACATTAAATAAACTGTGATGAAACTTAAGGGGCATGCATAAAACCAATGACTATAATGTACTAAAAAACAAATTGCTTATTGTAAGAGAAAATAGAAAAGATAAAGCATTAAAATACTAAAGTAAATTAACATATCAGATACATACACTTATCGTTATCCACTAAGAATGGAGTGATGACTACTTACAAAGTTACAAGTGAGGACAAATATATATATATATAAGGTAATGTTCAGGTAAGGTAGGCCTAAAAGTTACAATTTTTAGGCCTCTTTCATTTGAGGTGCTTACGGGTCGAATTTTTTGATAAAATTTTGTGAGCATGTTCTCCATGAAATGTAGGTTATGTCCACCAAATTTCAGAATAAAATTCAATCGGAAAGTTAGTTAAATAAATTATTGAAACAAACTGCTAGTTTTAGGCCTAAAACTGTGAAATTTTCAAAAAATTATTTAACTAACTTCACGATTGAATTTTAATCTGAAATTTGGTGAACATAATCTACACTTCGTGTAGATTACCAAATTGCATAAAAAATTCAACCTGGAAGCAGCTCAAATGAAAAGGGCCTAAATTTTAACTTTTAGGCCTACCTTAGCCTAAATTGTAACTTTTAGGCCTACCTTAGCCTAAATTGGAACAAGGATGGATTAAAAGTGTAAACCCCTAATTTCTTATTTAATGTAGATTAATGTTGAGGACCTTAGCAATAGGTAGATCATAGGACCCTAGGAAAGGGGTGTAAAGTGTAAACTAATAAGGTGAGACCTATAATGTCAAATAATAAAGATAGTCTTGGACATGATAATTCCATACTCAACGTATAGATTCAATACATTAGCACCGAAAAGTGATAAATCTTCTGTGTATTATACATGTAAGCATATGAATCACTTTTCAGAAATTGCAAGCATGGAATTGAAGAGTACATAGGAACTAAATTGTAACTTTTCTCATACATCATCAGTAAAGACGGAACAAGGATGGATTAAAAGTGTAAACCCCTAATTTCTTATTTAATGTAGATTAATGTTGAGGACCTTAGCAATAGGTAGATCATAGGGCCCTAGGAAAGGGGTGTAAAGTGTAAACTAATAAGGTGAGACCTATAATGTCAAATAAAAAAGATAGTCTTGGACATGATAATTCCATACTCAACGTATAGATTCAATACATTAGCACCGAAAAGAGATAAATCTTCTGTGTATTATACATGTAAGCATATGAATCACTTTTCAGAAATTGCAAGCATGGAATTGAAGAGTACATAGGAATTCAAACAACCATTAAGGGTGTAGAATGCCTACCTTGGACAATAGGTGCTTTCCTTCAATTCACATCTTGATGCTTCATCTGACATGATGACATGGGGGTTAAAACCATCATTTTTTACAACACATAATAGCTCCCCTTATACTAAAGCACAGAGAGACTGTTTCCGGATGACCCTTAGTGAAAATCGCGTCCAAAATTGAATGGACTGACTGCTGCTTCATAACAAAGAAGCGCAAACAGTTTAGTGAACCATTTTGCTTTATTTCATCATAATCTCAAGCCAAAAAATAATGAATCTTTGGCTCTATTGCAAATGATGGAAAATAAGAACTTATCAATATAAATATAAATTACATAGAAGGGGTAAGACGTACCAGGCTTCATAATACATTTTGCCAACATGGTGTAGTATTCAAATCGCTTAAAAAACGGATCTGAAATTAACACGTATAAATAAATGGAAAAATTTAAAATTTAAATGGATGTGGAAGGAAAAAAAGATGTGATGGCTGAAGCTATCTATCTCTATACAAAAGCAAGTGGAAAATCAAACAATTTTCTTGCCTATAGTCACAGGTCAGTTATTGGGTCGGGTTGGAAGAAACAGGTTTTCTTTAGCTGAGAAAATAGTACTACTCATTCAATGTTCATTAAATGATGAAGCCATGCTGGTTAACAAGCATTAAATGTAGATCCATTCCGAAGATCTGTTTGCATATATTATCCATCAGGTTGTTAATTTGTTATTTGTTGTTTGATCGCTTTGATGCGATCTGACAAACCAAATGTTCTTTAAAATATTTATGTTACTTTTTGCATTCATTCGTAACACCTAATGATAATAGTAAATAACTAAATGAAGGACGAGTTTGACTTGAGATGCTTTTCAAAGCTCTACACCAAACTCAAAGGAGTGAGGTTTGTAATGTTGATGAACCAATGAAAATGTGAATTTGAGTGATCAATTCTCTAATAATGCCAAGCACAAGAGAATGAAAACTCAGATGGAAGAAAAATATATAGACGGAAAACTGATAGATGGAAAACTAACAGACGGAAAACAATCTTTGTAGTGTATAATAATCATTGGTTTAAGGGAAAAGAGTCAAATAAGCCCTTGAAATAACTTAAAAGTGCAAATCACCACTTATATAGAAAGCTCTGGCCTGCCGGCACCATTTGTGGCGGTTCCTGGTGGAATTTTTTGATGAATTTTTTTTTATCATCTTTCATCAAGTCTAGTTTACTCGTACAAAATTTCAGCTAAATATTCACTCGGAAAGGCAATCAAATGAATTTTTGTTTTGAAGATAACAGTGCAATACATTTCAGAAGGTTTAAAACTTTGATTTTTTGTGCTTGTAATTACATGTTTGAAGTGCGTGGGTTTGGAGGTAAGGGTCAGATTGGTCCTCAAAGTTGCTAAAAAGGGTCAAATAAGTCCTTATATAGGAGGCTCTGTCCGGCCGTCGCCATTCGGTGTGGTTCCCCGTGGAATTTTTTGATGAAATTTTTTTGAGCATCTTATTTATTAAATCTAGTTTACTCATATCAAATTTCAGCTAAAAATTCAATCAGGAAGGCATTCAAATGAAGTCTTGAAGATAACTGCGCAGTTAAAATCGCAGTTACCTTCAAAAATTCATTTGAATGTCTTCTCGATTGAAGTTTTAGGTGAAATTTGATGCTAAAAATGTTTCATCAATTAATTCCAACGGGAACCTCCCCAAATGGCGACGGTCGGACAGTAAGGACTTATTTGACCCTTTTTATGCAATTTCAAGGACCAATCTAACCCTTACCTCAGCTGGGTTTGTGTCTGTTGAGTCTAGATTTCTCAGCTGTTGTGGATCTTTTGCGTTGTTTTTTTCCTAGGATTGTGGTCTACATATGATGCGGATGAGGTATGTTAACTAACACCTAACACAACAAAATATATCACTGAGCAGGATCAAACAAATAAAGACCATACAAATACATTATCTCTGAGCTAAATCATAGGGCCTGATATTTGCAGCTACCAGACCCTAACACAGTGGTTTGGTAGCGTGCTGGATTGTTGAGCTCTCAATCTGCGGATGAGTTTGTAGCTCTCAAGCCTCTGTGATAATGTATTTGTATGGTAGATACAGCTTTAGAAGGTTGGCTATGTTTAGTGTTTGGGGAGAAAACTAGGAAGAATATAGTTAAGCAAAACACAATACGTTGGAATTTTTATTGGAAATTCCACCAACTCTCTTAGACTTCTCTTCCTGAAAACTTGCATACTGTTCCCTCTATTCAATGTCCCTTAATTAGGCCTTTAAGAGTTAGGGAGATAGGATAAAGAAAGCAACTAAAGAAAAAGAAACAATAATTCATATATCGCAATCAACAAATATTATATAAGATCCCCAAAGATTCTCAAATCCTGGTGGTGGCATGCCTAGAAAACAATATATATGATCTCAAGAGATTCACAAACGTCTGAATTTTAGGTCAATCAGATTTGTCTGATCACCCGATTGGTGAGATTCCTAGGCTTAGTTTATTGGTTTTTGCTTTTGTTTTTTGGTGCTCTATGAACACATCAATATTCTAGTAAAACATTCAAGCAGCAGCACTGCGTTGATTTGAGATAGCAAAGAGAGACAAGTCGAAAAGATAAATGTAAATAGAAATCGTTTATAAGCAATTGAAATATTGCTTATAAATAGCAAACACCTGGTTTGGGGCCTTTGGGCTGCTCGAACATTGACGATCCCACATTGACTGTCCACTGGAGGCTCAAAAGTGAATCTCTTATAGGGAAACACTAATCGGAGAGACAAGATAATCATACAGAAAAAACATATATAAGCAATACCTGAAGTGGGATGCGCGATCTTTGAAAGCCCTGCCGCACTGTCCGCTGGAGGGTCTGGAATGAGACATGATTAACATAAAGGGGAAACATGTATCAGCAATTGAAATATTGCTTATAAATAGCAAACACCTGGTTTGGGCTGCTCAAACATTGACGATCCCACATTACTGTCCACTGGAGGCTCAAAAGTGAATCTCTTATAGGGAAACACTAAACGGAGAGACAAGATAATCATACAGAAAAAACATATATAAGCAATACCTGAAGTGGGATGCGCGATCTTTGAAAGCCCTGCCGCACTGTCCGCTGGAGGGTCTGAAATGAGACATGATTAACATAAAGGGGAAACATGTATCAGCAATTGAAATATTGCTCATAAATAGCAAAAACCTGGTCTGGGCTGATCCACCGTTGAGAATCCTTCGTGATTGTCCATTCGAGGCTCTGAAAAGAATTTATTCATACACAGGAAGACCCTAGACGCAGAGAGAAGATAAACAGAGATTACACGTTACAGCAAATGTTGCTTATAAATATGGAGTAGCGAAACCCTAGTTTGGACTGCCTTGCTCGGGGAGGGTGTACAGCAATCGGAGGGCAGGTCAGGGGCGGGTGTACAGCAATCGGAGGGCCCGCGGGTAGGGTTTAGACTCAATCTGCCTTTTTAAATTGGTATAAGTAGGCCTCAGCACGGGTCGGGTTCGGGCGGGTCGTGTGTGCGGACCCTTAACTCGTTCCGGTTTTTTAATTTAAATACTAGGCCCGAGTACCCCACCCTTTGATATTTTAAATAAGATATTTCAAATATTTTTAAGTCGGATATTATCGTATTCGGATCGGTTTCGGATATTTCAGTTATATTAAAACATATTATAATTGGATAATTGAAGTGTTAAAATGCCACTTTGACAAAAATTATACACACTAGTGCACTACACATTCAAATTACACAAATAATTTACCACAAATTACACAAATCTTTGAACACAAAGTACTAATTTAACATATACTCCGTACAAAGTACACACTACGTAATTTTATATATCTCGTGTATTTTGGTTGTATTAAAACACATTATAATTGGATAATTAAAGTGTTGGAATGCCACTTTGACATAAATTGTACACACAAGTGCAATACACATTAAAATTACACAAATAATTTAACACAAATTGCACATATAATTACACAAATAATTGAACACAAGTATTAATTTAACATATTCAAAGTACACAGTACATAATTTAATATATTTCAGATATTTCAGGCGGGGCGGGTTGGGATTTTACAAACCTTACCCGCCACCTGGTCTAGGCTCAATACCAATCGGATTTTCGGTTTCGGGTTTTCGGGTCAGATATGTGTATCCAAACGGATATTATCCGCAAAAAACTTCGGAGTTTGCATGTCGGTTCGGGTTTTGCTCAGCCCTAGGTATGAATGTGAGCATAGCAGCGGTCGTCTCCCCTAGATTTAGGGGTCATTTTCTTCTCTTTCGTCTACAGCGAAGTGCGGTATTCTTGTGCGACTTTCTTCCGCGATTTGTGAGGCTTTCTTCTTTGGTAGGCCGTAGTGCCTGTATGGCCGTCAAAGGTTGTGCACCCCCTGACAACAGGTGGAGAGTTTCAAGGATGTGGTTTTGTTGGGTTAATGGTCCAAAAGGGATTGGCCCACAAACCCTATCCGCTCAATGCAAACGCTCGGCGAGCGTACGGGCGAGAACGCTGATTCTCGCTCCTCAGTCCACACGAGGATCGTCAGGATCATACGATCCCCGGACATGGGAGGAAACACCAGGCATAGGCTCTTCAGAAGGACACAACAGCATGCGGTTCGGGACTGCCCCCAGTGATGCCCCGCAATGATCATGCGACCAGGGAGCAAACCCCCATGATCAACGGCCTGGGGCAGGAGGCTCGTGTCATCAATAGGCAGGCAGCATGGCGCAGGCGAGCGTCTTGTGATGTTCCTGGGCCAAGATACCCGCCTACACTAAGATACGTACGTCGCCTAGGCCTTGGTGTTGAGGATTGGCCTCGTCGGGGACGAACCTCGTCAGGATAATGGGGGCTAACCCGTTGTCTTGAACCTTCTGGGGACGTTCGTAGGGTGGGCCTCAAGAGTTTATGGGTCAACCCCCATTGGGCCATTAACCCAACACTAGAAGATTTTCATTACCTAGTGAAGATCATAGTTCGATTTTCAACAAAGCAATTACTACCCCAAAATAATTAGAAGATGATCATTCTGATGAGTAGTGATGAAATAAAATTGAATTAGTTATCTCCTAATTATTAATGATTAATAAGTCATTATTATCATAAAAGACACCAATTTAGAATATATAAAAACTAAAAAGTCAATAGCTTCAAATAAAACTACATAAACTGAATCACATTTATTTATTTTTTATTCTTTATAAAGTTTTATGCTAAGCTATCACCCGTGATTAATTGTGTGCACACTAAAAAACAATCCTAAATTGCACAAATTAATAGAATTAATTTTATAACTTTTATATATTCAAAATTGGTGTCTTTTGAAAGATTAATAAATAGTTATAAATTCTGATATATTTTTTGTAACAATGGGAGTACAAATAAAAAAGATATAACATTTACAAAAAAAATATTTTTAAAGTGCTAATTTATTTTTTTATATTCAATATTAGTGTCATATGAAAAATAATAAAAAATTATCAATACTAGTGTATTTTTTGTAATCATCAGAGTACAAATCAAAAAGATATACTCCGTATCACTTTTAAATACAAATGGGATTTTATTTTTTGTGAGACCACTCTCTTATTCTCATGGGTTGCTCGTAACGTGCATCACTTTAGGTTTTACATAAACCGCCACTTGAAGTCACGGTTCTTTTAACCAAGCTCTAGGGGAGCAGTACTTTGAGAACCATTTTCAACCTACCTTATTTTGGGAATTAATTTTTTATTTAACATTATTTTGTGAAAAACTCCCTCAAGTTACCTAATAATATATTTATACCGATTTCTAAATCTTAAGAGTTAAATACATTTACTATCAATCCAATTAGTCATTTAGTTCAACTGCAAAAAATAAACAAATAACAACAATGCAATGATTCACTTCATAGAAGTACAAGCAAACACAAATACTCCCTCCGTCCCTTATAACTTTGCCAAATTTCCTTTTTTGGATGTCCCACTAACTTTGCCACTTTCCCTTTTAAGTAAAGAATTTGTGGTTCCAGTTCATTCTCTCTCTTCTGCACAAACCTCAACCACACAGTTTTTACTTTATTATTTCTCGTGCCGGTCAAACTTGGCAAAGTTATTAGGGACGGAGGGAGTACAATATATAACACATCATTCATCACCCTGTCGTCTTTTAATCCATTTACTCGAAGTAAGTATGGCTCAAAATCAAATTAAATATTCATGATGTTTTGAGTGCATCCAGTAAATAAAGGAAGCCAGATAACCTTATTGGGGTATATAGATAACAAATTAAATGATGCAGAGAGCAAAGTCCCTTTGCCTGTCCTAGAAGCAGTTAATTAGCTTATAGGATAACATTCCTCAACCTCATCGCAGCTTGAATGGTACACACCTTGAGGTCTATGATAATACTTGGCAAAGAAGGTGACGGCAGAACAAGTAGGATCTTTATCATCCACTGCCTTCATGGTGATAAAGAAAATGAATGCACCATAAAAAGCAAAATTCACCTCCACCATCTTGAGTAACTTGAACTGTGGTCCCTGCATGTTGCATTTATCGTTATACAAAACACTAATAATTGTTCATCAATTACTATGCACCGAGGTTGTTAAAATTGCCACTTAAAACTTAAAATCATACGCATGATTTTACGATTCAAAATAAACCAACCGATTTAACTGGTATGCAAAATCATTTTGGAATAAAATCAGAAAAGATCACAATCGAATCATTAAAAATCATGATTTTCAAGCGACTTAATAATTTCAAGGGAAAATGGAAACTAATAATCCAACCTTTTAGCGGTCTTATTACAATAGTCCAACCTTTTGATTATTCAGGAATAATCTAACCTTTGCACCTCATCTTCATTCAGTGATCCCTGACCGGTTGATGAGTTGTTATTTCAAATTATTTTCTTATCTTTGCAAAACATTATGTGACCATAAGGTGAAATTTATGGTATAATATATTGCAAAGATAAGAAAATAACTTGGAATAGCGGGTCATCAACCGGTCAGGGACCATTGAATGAAGATGGGGTGCAAAGGTTGGACTATTCCTGAAAATCAAAAGGTGGGACTATTGTAAGAAGAGCGCTAAAAGGTTGGATTATTAGTTTCCATTTTCCCTAATTTCAATTTCAAGCCCCGCCCAACAAAACCAGTACCAGAGCAAGGCCCAATTCACGCCTATCGGCCCGGAAACAAACAAAATGTTGGAAAAAGTGTGTTAAAAGTGTATTAAATGGTCATTTGGGGACAATTATTTGAGTGGGATCCACGTCCGATTTGGGTCGGGTCAAAGTGGTTTCGGATTGTCCTTGCTAAGGGATACAATTCGATATATGGTACACTCAAAACGGATAACGGGTGAATGAGAAATTGTTTTTCGAAGTTTACCCGTTGGAATGGAGAAAACTAGGAAAATGTGGGTTTTAGTGTGGGTTCTTTCCCACACCGAAAATCACAAGGGAATTTGAACCCTTTATAGAGGGAAACCCCCCCTAAGGAGTTAAGATTCCTAGTAACCCCGGTGATGAACACTGGAAGGCAATAGTGAGGGTTTTGAGGTATTTACGCAAAACCCAAAACCTTGGACTGCACTATGGAAAATATCCATCTGTACTTGAAGGGTATAGCGACGCTAGTTGGATATCTGACATTAAGGACTCAAAATCCACAAGTGGATATGTGTTCACTTTGGGAGGTGCATCCGTGTCGTGGAAATCCTCGAAACAAACGTTAATAGCTAGATCCACGATGGAATCCGAGCTAATAACCTTGGATAAGTGCACTGAAGAGGCTGAATGGCTACGCCATTTTCTCGAGGATATTCCAAGTTGGGAGAAGCCTGTCCCTCCAATATGCATACATTGTGATTGTCAAGCGGCAATTGGAAAGGCACAGAGCAATCTCTACAATGGTAAGTCTAGACACGTTCGTCGTAGACATAACACCATTAAACAACTCCTCACAACGGGTGTTATCACTGTTGACTACGTGAAGTCAAAGGATAACGTAGCGGATCCGCTAACCAAGGCATTGGATAGAGAATTGTTGGAGAAGTTATCACGAGGAATGGGACTAAAGCCCATAAATTGAAAAGTTCTATAGTGGATACCCAACCTAGTTGGTCCTAGGTTAAAAAGGGACAACTAAATTATAGAGCGAAGGATGGTCACTGTGGGGGTCCCGGACTCCTACCCACTCCTCGTTGAAACAGTGACTCCCGCACGAGGTTAGAAAAAATGTTTGCTTTAATGATTCTAAAATGTTGATCTACTCGATAACATTGGAAGAGTATGCGGGATACTCATGAAAGAATCACATATGTGAGAGAGAAGAGGGCCGCTTCAAAGGAGAACTGTAATGGCTCAGTTCTTTAGAAACTCTTGCAGAACCAGGACGGTGACCCATGGCCAAAACGGGCACACCCATGAGAACG